TCAGCTCCGCTATTGGGTGTTTCCGGTTTTAACACCCCCCCCCCCCCTGTATTTCAACGTATAATGTCAAGCTGTTACGAATTCGTCTTATACCTTGACCGTAATGGCCACCTTTCTCGTGTCTCAGAGATTCGCAAATGAAGTGATTCTATTGTATTGTACGCAAGGGAATACAGCCAATCAGAAGCCTCGACAGAAAGTATACAAACAATAAGCCATAATGTTTTCATTCTTCATATAAAGGTCTCTGATTGGCTGTACTCGATAGAGTACAATCAAATTGCTTCATTTCGTGATAGGGAACCGCGGTAGCTCCTCCCTTAATTCCTCCCATTTGGGAGCCGCGATGACTCAGTGAGTTAGACGCTTGCTCGCTAACCTGAAGGTCCAGGGTTCAATCCCGGCATAGGTCGAGAAAAAACCTTCGAATTTTTCAACCCGGTTTCCCCCAGTCAGTGATGCAGGTACGAGGGGCTGACATGGAAAAAGCGTTTAGTCGTTCGGATGGGACAATAAACCGAGACCCCGTGTGCTACAGGCTGTGCACGTTAAAGATCCCTCGACAGTTGGAAATCGAAAAAGAGCAGGCTAATGCCGTTGTCCTGCAAAAATTCCTTCATTGCACCCTGCATGGCGTTGCTGTCTTCATTAGCCCACATGGTGCAGAAAAGTAGGACGTAAAACTCCATTTATTTCATTTCATTTCATTTCGTAATACAAAAAAAAGGTGGCTATTGCATTCAAGGCAAAGTTCGCAATAGCTTGACAGAGTGAAAATGGCGGCGGCCGTGCAGTCCTAATTTTCGACTAATGTTGTGATAATTTTTGAAATTTTAACAAAATACTTGAAAACGATCACGATATTAGCTTTGGCCTATATATTTCATTGCTTTATAAAATATATTTCTGTATGTGTCTGCAATTTTAGCACCATTCAGTTCACAACGAGGCTATATGGACTCACTCCACTAAAACATTTTATGCAAATGATTGTATGGAATCTAGTCCAGGCTATTTTTAGAAATCTTCTTTCTCTCTCCCTTTTGGGGTTTTTGCCTGCCTATTTTTGGGTAAAATTTGGTCTAGATTTGGAATTTGATGTCTGAAATTGCATTATCTTTAAGATTTTGTGAGATGACCTAAAGGCGGAAGGCTAATTCTAAAAATAGTCGTTTTGTGAAGTGCCAAACTCTAGCGGATGAGTATTTACCGGTAGTAGTCTACTTTTCAATTTTAGTAGCTCAAAATTTTCATGGTCATCATATATTGAATTTTTTAGGAGACATTAATGATTGGTCAGGCTTTCATTCGACATATTAGAAAGCTTTCAACGAGATTTCTGGAAAAAGTTATAGAAGGTTGAATTTCGTGTTTTAACATGGGAAGAGATGGCAAATGAATTAGAGGAGTGAGTCCATATACATCTCACATACTATTCATATAAAACAAAAAGCTAGAAACAAATGCGATTCCTTGATTCACGGCTGTTCTACTTAATATGTAATAACATACAACTCTTCCGTTAAAACTAAGCAATATTAGACGTCCTAAAGAGTTTTATAAGGCAACGGTGAAACAAAATGTGAATGAGTCGGCAATGTTTAGTTAGAAATGCCGCCATCTTGTAAGTGGAGATAACATATTATGTTATTGTGGTCTGGTAGTATACCGGTTACTATTTCTTTTGCGGGAGCTGCGTCATTTACGGTTAACTCTTTCTGGAATTGCAGGAACCACTGGCATCGGATGAAGAATTGGAATGTCTCAATATGAAATCAAAAGTGTCCCTGATACTCATAAAAGGGCTAGAAAACCTTTTTACATTCCCTTTAAGATTGGATAAAAACTGCATCATCGGTTGTACACGAAAAATGAACGGACGGACGGACGGACAGGGGTGACGGACTGATGGATGGACGGACATTTCCATTCATTTGGGAGTATACGAGCCAACAACTGACTGAGGGAGAGAAGAAGGCTAAAGTTACTAGCACGCGATAACAGTTCTTGATTCTATTTTCTCTCAGCTAATATAAACCTGGTACTAAAAATAGATTTATAGTGACCTGAATTTTTCACGATGGAATTATTCCTGTAAGTTATCAGAACTGTAGAATTTTGTCTGATATAGTCTGAAACTCTATTTCTTAGATTTCCTAGATTCTCTCTCACAGAGATGCTTAATAATTTTCCAGCGAGTGATGTCTAATTTGGTACAACATGTACACGTTGATGCCCAACGAAGTGGCGACGAGTAGGAAGTAAAACTCCGATGAGAACATTTTTTTTCAGGGCGTGATGTCTAATTTTGCATGAAATTTCGAGATGCAGAAAAATAGCACGTAAACGTGATTAGGTTATATAGTTTAGATGTAAAGGGTTCAGCTGTTAAAGGATTCAGCTGTTAAAGGGTTCAGCTGTTGAGGGTTCAGATGTTAAAGGGTTCGGCAGTAAAGGGTTCAGGTGTTAAAGGGTTCAGAAGTTAAAGGGTTCAGCTGTTAAAGGGTTCAGCTGTTAAAGGGTTCGGCAGTAAAGGGTTCAGTTGTTAAAGGGTTCAGCTGTTAAAGGGTTCATCTGTTAAAGGGTTCAGATGTTAAGGGTTGCAACTGTTAAAGGGTTCAGCTGTTAAAGGGTTCAGCTGTTAAAGGGTTCAGATGTTAAAGGGTCCAGCTGTTTAAGGGTTTCAGCTGTTAAAGTGTTCAGATGTTAAAGGGTTTAGATGTTAAGGGTTCAACTGATAAAGGGTTCAGCTGTTAAAGGGTTCGGCTGTGAAGGGTTCAGCTGTCGGGGGTTCAGCTGTTAAAGGGTTCAGCTGTTAAAGTGTTCGGCTGTTTAAGGTTCAGCTGTTGAGGGTTCAGCTGTTAAAGGGTTCAGCTGTTAAAGGGTTCAGCTGTTGAGGGTTCAGCTGTTAAAGGGTTCAGCTGTTAAGGGTTCAGCTGTCAAGGGTTCCGCTGTTGAGGGTTCAGCTGTTTAAGGGTTCAGCTGTTAAAGGGTTCAGATGTTTAAGGGTTCAACTGTTAAAGGGTTCAGCTGTTAAGGGTTCAGCTGTTAAAGGGTTCAGCTGTTAAAGAGTTTGGGTGTTGAGGGTTCAGCTGTTAAAGGGCTCAGCTGTTGAGGGTTCGACAGTAACGTGTTCAGATGTTAAAGGGTTCAGCTGTTAAAGGGTCCAGCTGTTGAGGGTTCAGCTGTTAAAGGGTTCAGCTGTTAAAGGGTTCAACTGTTAAAGGGTTCGGGTGTTAAGGGTTCAGATGTTAAAGGGTTAAGCTGTTAAAGAGTTCAGCTTTTGAGGGTTCAATTGTTAAGGGTTCAAATGTTAAAGGGTTCAACTGTTAAGGGTTCAGCTGTTAAAGGGTTCAGCTGTCAAGGGTTCAACTGTGAAAGGTTAAGCTTGTAAGGCATCTGTAAAAAAAAACAGATTTAGGTTTAATGGTCCATCGATACAGAACTCTTCGTTATAGAATTCATTTAGGGATAAACTTGAACTACTAAAAGTAAAAAAATGGAAAAGTTTATTAGTTCCGAGTAAAAGGTAGACACCGACAGAGTAATTTCATTTTACGATTTCATTCATATAATACAGCAATTGGGTACATGATACGAACCACAGTTGTGTGCACAGATATACAATCGTATTGTTTATAAACAGCACAAGTCACATTTTTCGGACTAAAGTTCAATTTAGATTGACATGTAACGAGCATGCGCCGTGCGATATCATTTAAAGGCCGTAGCTCCTCCTATTTCGTTATGACGTCAATGAAATTTTAGCCGAAGTGAAATATATTCGGAGTACGTCGAAGACTACAGCGTTAAAGTTCTAGGTTGTATTCTAGTATCAAATATTGTCGAGAGAGAGAGAGAACATTTTATCGACCGACTGTACATCCTCCAATTTGTAGCCTATTTTAAAACCAAGATGTCGGCAGAATTTCAGCACGGATTATTTGGGTGTTTTGATAACGTTGGATTGTGCATTATTTCATATTTTGTGCCTTGCTACACGTTTGGTAAAAATGCTGAGGCTGTTGGCGAGGGATGCTTTTTGTGTGGTTTAATGTTTTTAATTCCCATAGCTAATATTATTAGTTTGGTTAAAATTCGTGGAAAGATTCGGGAACAGCGCGGTATAGCTGGCTCGACCATCAGTGACCTGATGCTAGTATGTTGCTGCACGTTGTGTACATTGGTCCAAGAAGCTCAAGAAGTCCAAGGATCTGCTCCTGCAGGTGTCAGTATGGTTCGAGAGTAACAAGAATAAAACCTTTTATATTTTTCTCTGTTGCCGTTTTTTACTGCCTCTTTGGATGATGTTTTTTGTATACAAATCAGTGCTGTAACTCGCCTTATTGTGAATTTGTTTATATACTCGAATCTACTACGCTCAATTCTTACATTTCGAGGGTCCACAAGTTTTGAGTCCGAAGTGGGCTCACATTTTCTCTCAAATGAGTATTCTGGATATTTATGAAATGTTAAGGATAATAACTTAGTTTCTCAAGGTGATATTTTGACCAAACCTTTCTTAACTGTTCTTTCCTGGATTACCTGTAAAAAAAAAGTTCAGTTTGGTATGCTCGACTGGAAGCAAGAAACAATCAATATTTTTCAAGAATAGCAAGAGAACACATAGCAACCGGTCGTTTGATAAAGTATAACAATTTTGGTGATATTTTGAAAACCATGTACTTCCTGTTCCGGTTCTGCGTTTTGTAAATTGGAAAATACAACGGAATGCTGCTGGGTGAAATTTTGTCATCGGTAGTGGAGTCAAAAAGTCAAACTTCAGTATATGGACATTGGACCACGTGATATTTTGAAAACCATGTACTTCCTGTTCCGGTTCTGCGTTTTGTAAATTGGAAAATACAACGGAATGCTGCTGGGTGAAATTTTGTCATCGGTAGTGGAGTCAAAAAGTCAAACTTCAGTATATGGACATTGGACCACGTGATATTTTGAAAACCATGTACTTCCTGTTCCGGTTCTGCGTTTTGTAAATTGGAAAATACAACGGAATGCTGCTGGGTGAAATTTTATCATCGGGAGTCAAAAAGTCAAACTTCAGTATATGGACATTGGACCACGTGATATTTTGAAAACCATGTACTTCCTGTTCCGGTTCTTCGTTTTGTAAATTGGAAAATACAACGGAATGCTGCTGGGTGAAATTTTATCATCGGGAGTCAAAAAGTTAAACTTCAGTATATGGACATTGGACCACGTGATATTTTGAAAACCATGTACTTCCTGTTCCGGTTCTGCGTTTTGTAAATTGGAAAATACAACGGAATGCTGCTGGGTGAAATTTTATCATCGGGAGTCAAAAAGTTAAACTTCAGTATATGGACATTGGACCACGTGATATTTTGAAAACCATGTACTTCCTGTTTCGGTTCTGCGTTTAGTAAATTGAAAATACAACGGAATGCTGCTGGTTGAAATTGTATGTATATGGATATCGGACCTATCTGCAAAGTGAACTCAAAGAGCCATAAGTGAACGGCAACACCCCGACCTATTTTCTATGTGAAAAGAGATCATTGTATTCTGTGGATATGAATACCATTAACAGGAAAGTTAGTTTGGAATTGGGAGCAGATTGAAAACCAATATGAGATATGCGACTTGTCAGCGGTTAACCAAATCATTATCATTGTAAGTGATACTACGTCTTAGAATGAACATAAAATTTGATTCTCAAGAATAGTCAATATGAGTCTATATTCATCAGTGAACTTACCTGGTGTCATAAAGTTACAACAGAATCCATGTAAAATCTAGAAAATTGGAAAATTCATAAAACTAAGAAATAATTGAAAAACGCGTTATCATAATATTAAGCTTTTTTCAATAGTTAATTGCATATTTATGGATAATTAAGTTTTTTGGATTTATTAGATTATATAAGGATCCTGTTATGTTATTTATGACACCAGGTATATCTACTGATGAATATATGCTCTTATTGGCCAAGTTTAAATTTTATAAATTTTATGTTTATTGTAAGACGTAGTATCACTTTAAAGGAGGGTGTTTACCAATCAAGACCAGAGGACGAATTATGGTTCCCGCAATAGTCAATAGTAAATGCATCAGGCCTTCATTTTTCGGAGGGCAAGTAATATATCTGGAGGTGCAAGTAATATATTTGGGGGGACAACGGTTTGTGCTGATAATTTGCAGTAATGGAATCGGTCGTTTGTCAGAATTTTTTCAATTTTCTCCTTTGCCACCTTTGTAGCTATACGGAGCTGGTATTCATTTCTGCTAATTTTGTTGATTTTTAGAATAATCATTGTTCTATGAACTTGAATTGTCTAAAAAACAGTCATTTTTCAAAAATATTTCAACATAGCAATCAGTTTTAATTTCACCACTACACTATTATGAATATTTCAAAATACAGTAAGTAATTCGAAGCACATAGGCATACTCCTGTATTAAAATGATTCAGCAAACAGAATATGTAATTTCAAACCTTTGAGCTTGTGAATACTCATAAATATTTAAGTTTACTTTGAAAATTTGTTACAATAAACGTTTCTTATTGTTTTTCAATAAATGATCATTATCTACACCTTTTTTTTCCAAGTGGATGGAGTAAAGAAACAAGAGAGATTGAGTGTTTACGGCGATTCAATCCCCCCTATTTCAACGTAACCAGAGGTCCTTCTTCGCAATGTCAAGCTATTGCAGTGAATGGTATAAGGCGAAGTTTTGTAATAGCTTGACATTGAAAAGATGACAGAGACCATAAGTCCTAATTTCCTCCTGACGTTTTCAGAAATCTTAAAGGGACAGATGCTCTATTTTGGTGGCTTGATTTGAGTCTTGAAAGTATGTAAATAGTCTTTCATAAGAACTAGAAATTTACGAAAATCGCTTAATTCCTTCAAAAATATCTGTAACTAGGAAGTTTACCCTTTCTATATATGGCTTCTCTAGAGAGTATCTTAAAATAACGAGTCGTCATTTTAATATTGAAACGCGGATTTTTCTGGACACTCATGGATTTGCAGTCTCAAATTTCGACGGTGAGCTGTGGACACTATTACTGATTGGCTTAGCATAAAATATACCCGTTTCTGAGACTAAAGTATGATTGGTCAAAAAGAATGCCACACCTATCCCTTTAAAACAATTTCATAATTTTTGTCCTACAAAATACTTAAAAACGAAGCCGAAAAATAGCTTTGTTAATCATATTTAGAGACAAAATATTTGTATTTCAAGGCATTGTAAAATGTTTTTTGTATGTGTCCGCAATTTTAGAGCCCTACAGTTCACAAAGTGACTACTCATACGGCGATTCAAAAATGGACAGCGGTCAGACAGAAATAATTACTACATTCGTATAACCGACTTGGACACTAGATGATAAATTCTACCAGGGATTGACATCATTATCGATCCGTTTTGTTTTCGTCTCGACTATTTCTAATATTCAGGCGTCGATAAATTCAGGTCATTTTCCTTGTTCAATTACAATCCGCTGGCAATTGCTAGATCGACGGAGATTGTTCAAGTTTTTCCAAATCTTTCACTTTGATCCTTAAAGATGGGTTTCCTTGTTTTTTAGAGTCAAATTAAGCAAACTATTAGAATAATTGGTGTTTCTAATGAATTACCATGTATTCTGTATCATATCATTATGTTCTTATTGTATATAATTAAGAGTTTTAACCAATCATGTCCATATATATACAGTCTGGATAAACAAAAAAAGACTTTTTGACCTTTCTTGATCGGTCACTTACTGGAATTCTGCTGGCAATTCTCTTCTAATTTAGCAACTGGTATTTTTTCAAGTCATTAGAACATCTCTTCTTTCTATTCATATAAGTATTAGCATTTTCATAAATGAAAATAAGGGAACCCATCTTTAAAGTTGTATAACTATCTCCAAATATTACTAGTTCACTACAAACATGAAAGCTTTATACATTCGCTTCAGTGCTCAGATTGACGTTAAGCACGCTTGTAATTAGACACTTCCCTGATGATGAAAATGTAGATTTTTAAAACGTAGTATACCATAAAATTGTTAATAGGTCCAAGAAGATTTATATGATAACCGTTATGATTTTCTTTGATTTAGTTCATTGCATATTAGCTACACAATTATTGTAAACATAACTTTAACCCTGTGCCAGTGCCTTATATTGAATAGTAACTTGTAATTGTAACCCTAATCTCACAAAATTGTGTCCGTTACTTAATGTGATCTCTACCCCTAAATGTCGCTAAAGGCTTATCAGAGAGTTATTGCAATTCGAGTAACAGTTGTTGGCGATGTCGTCATAATATCGAATCAATTTACAATAGTAATTTAACACTGGCATTTACTTAATTGCATTGCATTTCATTTGAAATTTACCTCTTACCGCTGTAGATATTTAATAGGCATAGCTGAAATCGACCTCTAATTCTTCGGCGAATATTTAGATGACCATATCCCTTGAAGAACAAGATATAAGATCTATAGGGAAATTGCGATCATTTATTCAAAAAAATCATCAGTATTAAAGGAACTAGTTCGCCATTTTCGGCTGATTTGGGTCTTGAATTCGTGTAAATCGTACGAAAATCTCCTTTTTCCAGTTTCTGAGGCTTAACAGTAAATCGACATTTTAAGATGGTTTTCCTTATTTTTTAGTGTCAAACTATTTCATTAATTGGTGTTTCTAATGAATTACCATGTATTCTTAATCATATCATTATGTTCTTATTACATATAATTAAGAGTTTTAACCAATCATAAATATCCATGTATGTGCAGTCTGGATAAACAAAAAAAGACATTTTGACCTTTCTTGATCGGTCACTCATTGGAATTCTGCTGGTAATTCTCTTCTAATTTAGCTAATAATGAATTAATTATGGACATGTGAGACAAACTGGTATTTTTCCATCATTAGAACACCTCTACTTTCTATTCATATAAGTATTAGCATTTTCATTTTCATAAATGAATATAAGGGAACCCATCTTTAAATCGTGACAATTTTTCTTCATCGATTTGAACTTTGACCCGTATTTCAGATTAAAATTACTCAGGATATCCTCCAAATCGGAACTGACATTTGTGGGGAGTTTTATGTTGGTTTGATGAAAGTAGGTCTATACTTGTATACATGTGTTTACTGTATTATCAAGTCGTGTTAAGTGGTTAAACCTATGTGCAAAGGACGAGGCGCGATAAAGTTATAAAACGAAAACATGTCCGCTAATGCCGCTGTCGTGGAGAAATTGTCCTCATTGTACACTGCGTGATGTTACCTGTCCTATAAGGCTCTATCAGGCACAGCAATGAATGAAACAAATCGAATCTCCGTGCATTTAGCGCAAGAAAATTCTCAATTCCTCGGCCAATGTTTTCTATAGCGACAGCATTCACATCTGAAGCTGACAGCCAAATCACAAAGTGATATACGGCGCTAGTTTAAGAACGTGGGCTTATATGAAACATATAAAATTCGGCAGTAATATTATTAAAATAAATGCCAAATATACTACAAGTGTAAATGTCAAACGAATCGTGTTACAATTATTACTAATAGTCATTATTTGAAATTACTGAGGCTTAACCAGACCTTTGAATTGATTGAATTAGTCCGAGGGGGGAATTAAATGAAATGAATGGAGTTTTACGTCCTACTTTTCTGCACCATGTGGGCTAATACAGACGGGCAACTCCATGCAGGGTGCAATGAGGGAAATTTTGCCAGGACAGCGGCATTAGCCTGCTCTTTTTCGATTTCTAACTGTCGAGGGATCTTTAACGTGCACAGCCTGTAGCACACGGGGCCTCGGTTTATTGTCCCATCCGAACGACTAGACGCTTTTTCCATGTCAGCCCCTTGTACCTGCATCACTGACAGGGGGAAATCGGGTTGAAAAGCCGAGGGTATTATCTCGACCTATGCCGGGATTGAAACCTGGACCTTCAGGTTAGCGAGCAAGCGTCTAACTCATTGAGCCACCGCGACTCCCAAGAGGGGGGAATTAAGGGAGGGGCTCCGTTTATTTAAAGGAATAGATTCACCGTTTGATTCAAACGGGATTTTTAGCTAAGCTAATCAGTAGCCTAATACTGTTCTCGTCTGAATGTGAGAATTTGTGTAGAATGTTAGAATGACGATTCGTCTTTCTTGAGACTTAAGATAGATAATTTCCTAGTTTAGGGTAGTTTTGAAAGAATTATGCAATTTCGTACATTTCTAGTACTTCTGAAGACTATTTTCAAAACCCAAATCAACCCCCCTAAAATGGCAAACGTGTCTCTTTAATTGAATTTAATATACTTGTAGTTCACACATTTGGTCAGAAATCGATGACATTCGATGGAGCTCTGTGTTATTTCCATGCATGTTAGATCCGTGCGTGGGTTGCGTACACAGAGGTATCATTAGGTTTAACAGTGAATTATTTAAGGAGAGGGGCAATTAAAGATGGGTTCCCTTATTTCCATTTATGAAAATGAAAATGCTAATACTTATATGAATAGAAAGTAGAGGTGTTTTAATGACTTGGAAAAATACCAGTTTGTCTCAAAAAGTCTTTTTTGTTTATCCAGACTGTACATATATGGACATTTATGATTGGTTAAAACTCTTAATTATATGCAATAAGAACATAATGATATGGTTAAGAATGCATAATAATTCATTACAAACACCAATTTATTCATCAAAAAGTTTGCTTAATTTGACACTGAAAAATGAGGAAACCCATCTTTAAAGATTTCATATTCCATTTAATTTGTTTTGAGAGAAGGGGGTGTGGATGAATAAATTATGATTACATTTTGTCAATATTTCAACGGTGTTTTTTATTCATAACAGCTTTCAGCTAGAAGTAAACCTTTACAGCCATGCAATCATTTTCACTTATATAGTTTGTAAGTATGGTTTGTAAGTTTGCACATCACAGACACCTTAAATTGAAAAAAAATGTCGGCAACCCCAGACTGCGATAGCCAACTACAAAAACGACTTTAAATAAAGGTTTCAAGGTCAATTTTTTTTTTTTTGGATTCTATTATCACCAGGCGTGTGCCACTTCTGAACCGATTAATTTTTTTTTTGTCGCTGAACTTTGATGTGGAAAATATTGACTTTTCATCATTTCACAAAGACTAAGATAATAAATGAAGTTCTCAATCTAAAATGTTAGTAAAATTTTCCTCATTGCATACTGTATGGCTTTGTCAATCTTCATTAGCCCTATTAAGACGTTAAACTTCGTTTCATCTTCAACACCACTTATTTCGAATCAATGGTTGTAGTCTGATTTGTTACAGTGAGAATAGAGTTATTTCCCTTGAGTCCAGATCCAAAAGAAAAATGTCTAGACTGAAACACCGGTTAATTTAGGCACACGCAAAATAAATTATCTTTCAACACAAAATTGAATTTAAAAAAAAAAGGAGAAAATATGTAAATATAAGTGTCAAATCGGCAAAATAATGTTATACTTATGATAAAAGCACCCAAAATGTCTCACATAATCACAACTGCATTTTCACTACCTGGCATCCTTCTTCAAAAAAAAACACAACAAAGATAGCATTCTCTTCATCTGATTGGTCAATCACTCAAACTGAATTTAAGTTTAGCTATATTTAAGTGATACTACGTCTTAGAATGAACATAATAAGTTCTCGAAATGGTCAATATGAGTATATATTCATCAGTGAACTTACCTGGTGTCATGAAGTTACAACAGAATCCCTGTGAAATCTAGAAAATTGGAAAATTCATAACAACTAAGTAATTATTGAAAAACGCTTAATCTTGATATTAAACGTTTTTCAATAGTTAATTGCATATTTATGGATAATTACTAAGTTTTTTGGATTTATCGGATTATATAAGGATCCTGTTATGTTATTTATGACACCAGGTATATCTTCTGGCTCTTATTGGCCAAGTTTAAAATTCTTCAATTTTATGTTAATTCTAAGACGTGGTATCCCTTTAACTCATCAAATTACAGTATCATTCGGGATTTTCTAATTGGTCATATTGTAATGAAGGTAACTCATACAGTAATCTGATTGGTTAAACTTAAAATCAATTCTAGTAGGCCTATTATGCCAATCAGATAAAGCGAATTCTCAAAATCATTCTTAAGTAAAGTATTTTTGAAACGGGACCAAGGTCAAATCACAGGGGTTCGAAATTTAGGCAATGGAGTTTGTCATGTCCAGTAATACATGAGCATCCAGAAGTTTGTCTAAATATTTAGTGGTTATTGTCCTTAAAGCGACCACTGTTTCAATACACCGCACAAATAACATAGAACCATTGCCGTGATTCAACAGTAACTGGCACTTTAATGCCATCGATAAGTCCATTTCCAAATTCTCCAACATTTTAACTGTTTTCAACCCTTCACGATCTGAAGTGGAAAGAATGGCAAAATAATATATATAACTTGCTATGTAGAATTTAAAGATGGTTTCCCTCTTTTTCATTTATGAAAATCAAAATGCTAATACTTATATGAATAGAAAGTAGAGGTGTTCTAATGACTTGGAAAAATACCAGTTTGTCTCACATGTCCATAATTAATTCATAATTAGCTAAATTAGAATAGAATTGCCAGCAGAATTTCAATGAGTGACCGATCAAGAAAGGTCAAAGAGTCTTTTTTTGTTTATCCAGACTGTACATACATGGACATTTATGATTGGTTAAAACTTTAATTATATGCAATATAAGAAAATAATTTATCCATAATGATCACGTAACAAAAAAATGGAGTAGTATACTATAAATTTGTGCTCCGTTGTTAAAAAAAATACAATTTTATCATTCTTACCTGGACAAAATAAAACCATAGCACATAATAAAGATAATTCTACATCAGTCAGTTCGTATTTCCGTAATTTTCCCACCACGTCGTACATATGGTGGAATACTTCGCCCAATAAACCATACTCGTTCCAATGTTTCGTGTCTAAACGGAATTTTAACTTTTCATCTTCCCACTTTTCCTCGGAGTGAAGTATATGCGTCGAGTCGTGGATTGCTGCAACTTCTAAAAGGCACCCTTTGACCAAGAGTCTCTGTTCGTCCAAGGAGAGGTCCAAGAACTGAGGAATTTCTTTCGCGAATGTAGTGATGCATTTGACTATACAAGGTAGATAGCGAACATAAATATTCTGCGAATCTTCTTTTGATTGCAGCTTGACTATCTGAAAGAATATAACTTTAAGCTTTAAAGATGGGTTCCCTTATTTTTGAAAATGAAAATGCTAATACTTATATGAATAGAAAGTAGAGGTGTTCTAATGACTTCGAAAAATACCAGTTTGCCTCACATGTCCATAATTAATTCATAATTAGAAGAGAATTACCAGCAGAATTCCAATGAGTGACCGATCAAGAAAGGTCAAAAAGTCTTTTTAGTTTATCCAGACTGTACATACATGGACATTTATGATTGGTTAAAACTTTTAATTATATGCAATAAGAACATAATGATATGATTAAGAATACATGATAATTCATTAGAAACACCGATTTATCAAATTGTTTGCTTAAATTAACATTAACAAAAATAAGGAAACCCAACTTTAAGCGTTTAAATCTCAGTGGCAAACCAATTCTAAACATTCTAAAAAATCATTGGCAAACTGACTTTTAGCTTTCTTAAAACTTCACGGCAAACCAATTTTAAGCTCCTATTTACAATTGGCTTACTCACTTGAAGCTCTTAAAATTCAATGGTAAACCAATTTTAAACTTTCATAAAACTTAATGGCAAACCAATTTTAAACTTTCTTAAAAGTAAGTGGCAAACAAATTTTAAGCTTTCTTAAAACTTAATGGCAAACCAATTTTAAACTATCTTAAAACTCAATGGTAAACCAATTTTAAACTTTCATAAAACTTAATGGCAAACCAATTTTAAACTTTCTTTGAAGTAAGTGGCAAACAAATTTTAAACTTTCTTAAAACTTAATGGCAAACCAATTTTAAACTATCTTAAAACTCAATGGTAAACCAATTTTAAACTTTCATAAAACTTAATGGCAAACAAATTTTAAACTTTCTTAAAACTTAATGGCAAACCGACTTTAAGCTTTCTTAAAACTTAGTGGCAAACCAATTTTAAACTATCTTAAAAATCAATGGCAAATCGACTTCAAGCTTTCTTAAAACTTAATGGCAAACCGACTTTAAGCTTTCTTAAAACTTAATGGCAAACCAATTTTAAACTTTCTTAAAACTTAACGGTAAACCAATTTTAAACTTTCTTAAGACTTAATGGCAAACCGACTTTAAGCTTTCTTAAAACTTAATGGCAAACCAATTTTAAGCTTTCTTAAAACTAAGCGGCAAACCGACTTTAAGCTTTCTTAAAGCTTAATGGCAAACCAATTTTAAGCTTTCTTAAAACTAAGCGGCAAACCGACTTTAAGCTTTCTTAAAACTTAATGGCAAACCAATTTTAAGCTTTCTTAAAACTAAGCGGCAAACCGACTTTAAGCTTTCTTAAAACTCAATGGCCAACAGATTTAAAGCTCTTATATATCAGTGGCAAGCTGACTTTAAGCTCTTCAGAGAAACAAGCTATAACTTTAAGCTCTTAAATCTCAGTGACAAACCAACTGCAAGCTTAAAAGTACGAAAGAAGTCTGATGTTCGAAAATGAAAGACTTGTGTCATTTAAAATGGTTAGAGAAATTGTTCAAATTTTATTATTTCAAGCTTTTAAGCCTAGTGGATCAGTGAGTTAGACGTTTCTTCCCGATCCTAATAAGAGTGCAGGGTCCGATCGATAGATCGGATTTTCCAACTCGGTATCCAAGGCAAGGTGTACTATACACTAGTGCACGTTAAAGAATATTGGTTAGCCCAAGAGAGTAGGTTCATGGTTTTTGTTCAAGAAAAATTCTCCTTTTTTACATCCTGCATAACGTTGCCTAATAAGAATCAATCAATGATTTATAACCTTATTGACTATCGTCTGCTAGGTGATTATGTGTCTTACGTTAGAATCCCTCTCTAGACAAAAAAATTGATGACGTCTGTACAGCATGTAGGCTACTTTTGACATTTAGTCTGACCAGTATTAGAATTGACCTCTATGACCATTGCCACTAGTCGGCCACTTTAAATATTAATCTGATGCCACTGCCATTACTTTCGGTATCCGAATATGTTACCATTAAATATAATCACTTAGAAGCCACAAGAAAACCTCAAAACAATCTGATGTCATGACCAGTGCTTTCGATATTTTATTTGACGATGATACCTCACCCTTTCCAACTAACCTTTGAAACACTAAACTAACAATCGTGAAATATCACAGTTTTACAACCTTAATTTACACTATATCAAGACACCCCCAAGTTAAATTGCAAAACACCCTCCCAATCGTTCGCCTACTCACTGTAGAAATACTAGGTCTATTATCGAGTGTCGGCCTCATTTAACATTACTTCCTTGTTGCCAGAATTGACCAATCAGAAGTCGTCTTAACGGTTCGTCGCGTGCTACAGAAGACTCAACCAATCAAATGCCGTGTGACTTGATATAGGTCATAGCCGAGTTGAGATAAAACTGTCATATTGACACACGAGAATACTTGTGACCTCGTTTTTTTTGCTCCAAGGTCAAACTGTTATCGGACTAAAGTTCATTTTAACTAGAATTCACTGAACGTTTACTTTTAAATTCATATTTCGGAGAATTCGTCGATTAAATTGGTAGAAGGGAATTTTGTTTAAGATCGCAAAGCGGGATAGTAGTCAAAGCCACATTCGTGACAAAATTTCTCTCATTGTACGACGCTAGGCGTGGTATGTCTTAAAGAACATTACTAAAATGCAGAAATGCATTACGTAAGAGTACGATTCATTATTTATACTGATTTCGAAACTCAAAGTTTGTATTTTCCTAAAAAATTAGATACTGTAATTTCAAACCCCCTATCTTAAGCACCCTGTTTAAACTTATAACTGCATTCGATTTCATAATGCCAATTTCAAAGGTTCCTTAACGATGTTTTCGTATGTTTTTATTTAGTACAGCATGTTCGAATTCTCATCAAGAAAATCGGAGAAAAAATTCGATCTGAGAACCATTATTTCAATATAGAACGTTCTCTCCAACCTCGAGTTATCAAACGTCATTACCAGTGATTCATTATAGAATTAGGTGACACGTTATACTGACATACCTTAGATCCCTAGGGCACTATTATCTCCGGTGATGTGTATTAGGTTAGGGAGGGGTTCGGGTGGTCTGGCATGCCATTATTGAGATATCTATTTAAATCCTGAACACCCCTTATTCTAGCGCTTAAATCTACCAACCAATCAACCTTCGAGCGCTCTTACTAAACTTATCCCAAGCCCTTTGCCATAAAATACATGCTGGGCCCTCATTCATTTCCATGATCAGAACGAGTTTGGAAGAATGAAGGAGATCGAGTAACTCACGCCCCACCATCCAGGGCCGAGTTTCACCGCCATGTCATTCGATCCGACCAGATCTAACGAAGAATCAACAACCAAACCAACAACACAGAATCATCCAATTTGAACCAATCCAACTACCAACTACTACGACTATCAACAACTGCCTAGTTTGTGGTATCAGCATCCGCTGGAAGCGAACCATTAACTTGTCATCTACCAACAACTACCTAGTTTGTGATATCACCATTCGCTGGAAGCGAACCATTAACTTGTCATCTACCAACAACTACCTAGTTTGTGATATCACCATTCGCTGGAAGCGAACGTTAACTTGTCATCTACCTACCTACCTACCTCATTCCTTTCTATTACACCGAATGTGTAATAACACCGACCAAAGTTGCCCTCAGATTCTGCCAGTCGCAAGTTCCAACTGGGTCTTGTCCTCCAAGTAGAGTTTATCTTAGGCTTCCGTAGACTAGCTCGACTCACCCACGCCCTCCATACCCTACACACAATTTCGTATCATTTTACTTAGCGAAAGAATTACCTGGGAGCCCCTACATGCCCTTCTCCCTCCAAAATTTTTCATAGAGACGCCACTCCCCCACCCCCACTCTTTATAATAAGACTCATACTTACTTCACTAGGAGACAATTCAAAAGCTACTCTGTCGAATTCCTTAACAGCTAATTTGAAGGCATCGTGTATTGAAAGTATCATTTGCTCTGTTTTGACTTGCTTGTCAATATCCACTGCCCCACTCTGGTTCTGTGGTAGAACAAAGAAGCTGTTACTGGCAGGGCGGTCTTTTTTAGGACAGCGACCCAGTCTTACCGCTGAAATGATCAAAACACGGAGAAATCAGCTATTAAAACAAAACATACATTCTCTCGTGATATTTTTCTTCTTCATTGTAATCTAACCACTTTACTACCACAGCCCCGTTCTCTAAAATTCTTGTTCAACCAATCGAAACGTGTCAAGTAAAACAATGACGGATTGTGGGGTAGCGAAACACCGAGAGGCAGTGATAGTTCCCTACAAAATTTATATACACTAATGATGCTCAGACCGAAAACTACCAATAAAAAGGTAGTTTCGTAAGACTTGGAACAAATATTGAAAATGTGGGTACATTCGTAAGAAAAACCACACCATATACGCCCACCACGGCATGCGGATGGTAATATTAAAGATTTTGGGGCCAGGGCAATAACTCTGCTTCTAACGGTCGAAAATAGCTCAAATTCGAACTTGATCTTTTTATGAATATGTATACACATACCGAATTTTATTTGATTCTATCAAAAAATCTAGTTTTTAGAGCGTTTACAAGCAAATGTTGACGGACGGACCGACGGACGGGCAGGGGTGCAGACAATATACGTCCACATAGAGAGAAAAAGCTCGTACATTAATTTTGTGACAACTGACAAAAAAGTGACAATGTAAAATGTGACAAAATAATAGCAAGATTAGAACTAGGGTTAAAAAAACGTACATTCGTGGGACATGCCGACACTAACACATTTATTTAACCGACAGAATTGACAGCGGTTCCTGCTAATTCTCATGATGAGACAGCCCTTCATGTTGCCACATGGCTTGTAGGTGATATTCTGCCGGATTGTACGTCGGAAAAATCCCTGAAAATTAACAAATGAATATTAGTAAAGATGTGAATCCAAACAAGATATTGTTCTGCATGTATGCTCTGTCACATATTTTGTATAATAGTTAAATTTCTCATGTGTTGTACCGAATGACTCGTATTTCTTTTTTTTTCATATGAAAACGAACCACTGTACAAAATATGATCACGAGTTTAAATATTAAAATGCTAGCATATTACATTTGTATTTTTTAAATTTTAGAGGAAATTATGAAAGTTAATGAAAACACTTACTTTGCAACCTTCGCAAGAAAAAACACCATAGTGAAAGCCTGAGGCCTTGTCCCCACAAACACGACATAATATATGTCCCCCGGGCGGAACACCTGAAATTCCCAAAAAAAGAAAGGAGTTAAAAGGGTTATAAGGGCTAGAAGATTTGATGCAATTTTGGTTCGTGAAAGTCGCGAAAAATATATTCCTATCGTAACTATTATTCATATCACAAGAAGAACATTGATGTTTCAATATACAAACCATTATTCAATGAAAAAAATGAAATGAATGGAGTTTTACGTCCTACTTTTCTGCACCATGTGGGCTAATGAAGACGGACAACGCCATGCAGGGTGCAATGAGGGAAATTTTACCAGGACAGCGGCATTAGCCTGTTCTTTTTCGATTTCCAGCTGTCGAGGGATCTTTAACGTGCCTGTAGCACACGGGGGCTCGGTTTATTGTCCCATCCGAACGACTAGACGCTTTTTCCATGTCAGCCCCTCGTACCTGCATCACTGACAGGGGGAAATCGGGTTGAAAAATCCAAAGGTATTATCTCGACCTATGCCGGGATGGAACCCTGGACCTTCAGGTTGCGAGCAAGCGTCTAACTCACTGAACCACCGCGGCTACCCTAAAAACCATTATTCAAATCATAAGGAGAAAACTAATATATACCTATATACCTTTCATCATATTTAGAAACTGATACATCAATATACATTAATATCACAAGAAGAAATTGACAATTAATATTATAACAAAACTACAAAGAGAAACCTGGTATACAAAATATATAAATCATTATTCAAATCACACGGAGAAAACTGACGTTCATAAATATAAATCAATATTCCAAAAACCTGACACATTACAGGCCTGAGGGCGCATGGGCAAACACACCACCCCGAAATACGACACGGGTTAGGCTCCTCTAGGTAGTGCCACCAAGTCGAAACCGGATCGCATATTTTTACAGAACTCAAAAACCGGCCGGGTCACACGATTTCTGATCCGTGCCTGAATTATATAGAAATATTAAATACATCTTGTGCCTAAGTTCCACAAATGACGCATTTTCACTTTAATTGTGCCTCAATTCGGCAATTTGAACCCAAAACCCAATTACGTTCTGAATTTAGGCATCTGCAAATATTTGCCTTTAACTTTAAGTAAGGCACCTTAAAAAAATTTTGCGGACAATTTTTTCCGATTTTGTCCCACAGGCAAATATTGGTATCTTCGAGCAGAAGTTAGGCACTTTGATACCTGCTTTGTACCTATTTACTTTTTGTCTTTTACCTTTGGAGACATTTCCCAATCTTTATCCCTTTGTTAGGCAATTCCATACTTAAATTTGGAAACATTTCCCAATCTTTGTCCCTAAGTTAGGCAATTCCATCCTTACCTTTGGAGACATTTCCCAATCTTTGTCACTAAGTTAGGCAATTCCATACTTACCTTTGGAGACATTTCCCAATCTTTGTCACTAAGTTAGGCAAGTCCATACTTACTTTTGAACACATTTCCCAATCTTTGCCTATAAGTTAGGCAATTCCATACTTACCTTTGAACACATTTCCCAATCTTGTTCCCCCTTGTTAGGCAATTCCATACTTTATCTTTGTCACTAAGTTAGGCAGTTCCATACTTACCTTTGAACATATTTCCCAATCGTTGTCCCTAAGTTAGGCAATTCATACTTACTCTTGGACGCATCTGCACACTTTTTGTAGAATTGCCACGGATTAGAACGATTAAAATACTGTATAGGCATCTTTGATATTTAGTCTTTTGTGCATAAAGTTTGAACAAATCAATCTATAAAATTGGACTATACTTCCACCAAGCACAAACAGTTTGTCACCATTTCACTCATAGTCAAATTGCAAAATTCACACCAAAATAACTTTAAATAAAACGTTTAATTCAACTTCTCACAGAAACTTTCATTTAACTATTTGTCGCAGTGCTTTAAAGTTCATTTCATTTGAGCAAACTGTTTATACGCAACGCTCTAACAGTTTATTCCATCAGAGCAAACTGCGTTATAACTGAATGTAGATTCAATATAGAACAACAAAGCAACTGCCACTAGACATAGGCTATATTGTGATCAATGAATCGAGTTCGCAAATGTGAATGGGAAAGAACTATCGCCAAACTATTGATTTCTCAATCAACCAATGGAAATGCGTCTACACAAGGAAGATACAACTAGGTAATGTAAGGTATAAGTACTTGCATTGTTATGGATGGAAAAGTGGGAGAGGGGCAAGCTGGGCCGAGTTCCTATAGGGGAGCAAAGTTTACATCGTTTGGGTAGGACAGAACACCCGTGCCCGTTGCTCTGTTAGGGGGTGGGGGTGGAGGGCGTGCTATTGTGGGGTGTAGAGACTCGCAAATCCTATGCCATTGTCTGTTTTATGGTAGGGTCCTATTTTCATTATCCTGACCAGAGGCTGGGGTAGCTAGTGACCCTTTTTTGTGAGTTGGGTGTCTGACCTCAAGTGAATAGAAGAGATCGGGGAAAGTCGGGAACTTCAGGTCACGTATAAGTACTATCTAATTTTTATTTATTGTCAATCGAAAAAGGGTAAACCAATTCTTACATCAATACCAATTTACTCCATTGAACACTGCATGGCGTAGACAGTTTCTGTTCGCTCAGTTAAAGGGATTGTAAAGAGGTTTTCTATGAGAAAACCTCTTTACAATCCCTTTAAGTACAGGTCACATTTCATTAGTACCAAAACAAAATTTCATTCAGTCTCAAGCTGTCGTAAAATTCTTCTTTTTTGTCATAATATTTTTAATAAATATAATGACTATGAGATAACACTTGATTAATTTACTAATACATAATATACACATGTACATATTTATAAGTTCATTTAGTTCGCATATCCTCAAAGTTCTCTCATTGTACACTATAAGGCTTGCCATATTAATACACAGGGATACATGTCGTTCCAATTCATTTAGTCGCATGTTACAAATTTTCCTTTACTGCACATTCACGTAGTGCAGAAAGTGTATCAATCATACTTGAATTTCAGCACATTGACGCAAAAGGGTACAGAACAGTTGGTCATAAATTTCGATTTCATTTCATTTGCTGAATTCGGTACAGAACAGTAGGGCGTACAATAATTATTTTCATTCCATTGGTACAATACGGTACACAACATTGAGACATCAATGTACATTCCATTTCATTAGTCCAATAAGGTACAGAACAGTAGGGCGTACAATAATTATTTTCATTCCATTGGTACAATACGGTACACAACATTGAGACATCAATGTACATCCCATTTCATTAGTCCAATAAGGTATAGAGCATTAGGACATAAAACTCCTATCATTTCATTAGACCAAATAAGGTACAGATCAGTAGGACATAAATCTCATTTCATTTCATTTATTAGACCAATAAGGTACAGATCAGCAGGACATAAAACTCATTTCATTTCATTAGACCAAATAAGGTACAGATCAGTAGGACATAAATCTCATTTCATTTCATTAGACCAAATAAGGTACAGATCAGTAGGACATAAATCTCATTTCATTTCATTTATTAGACCAATAAGGCACAGATCTGTAGGACATAAAACTTCATTTCATTTCATTAGACCAAATATTGTATAGAGCAGTAGGACATAAATCTCATTTCATTTCATTAGACAAATAAGGTACAGATAAGCAGGACATAAAACTCATTTAATTTCATTAGACCAAATAAGGTACAGATCAGTAGGACTTGAACCTCATTTCATTTCATTAGACCAAATAATGAAAACGACAGTAGGACATAAATCTCATTTCATTTCATTAGTCCAAATAAGGTACAGATCAGCAGGACATAAATCTCATTTCATTTCATTAGACCAAATAATGAAAACAGCAGTAGGACATAAATCTCATTTCATTTCATTATACCAAATAAGGTACAGATCAGTAGGACCAAATAAGGTAAACAGCAGTAGGACATAAATCTCATTTCATTTCATTAGAACAAATAAGGTACAGATCAGTAGGACATATAACTCATTTCATTAAACCAAATAAGGTACAGATCAGTAGGACATGAATCTCATTTCATTTCATTAGACCAAATAAGGAAAACAGCAGTAGGACATAAATCTCATTTCATTTCATTATACCAAAGAAGGTACAGATCAGTAGGACATAAAACTTCATTTCATTTCATTAGACAAATAAGGTACAGATCAGCAGGACATAAAACTCATTTCATTTCATTAGACCAAATAAGGTACAGATCAGTAGGACAAAAATCTCATTTTATTTCATTAGACCAATAAGGAAAACAGCAGTAGGACATAAAACTCATTTCATTTCATTAGACCAAATAAGGTACAGATCAGTAGGACATAAAACTCATTTCATTTCATTAGACCAATAAGGAAAACAGCAGTAGGACATAAAACTTTATTTCATTTCATTAGACCAAATAAGGTACAGATCAGTAGGACATAAAACTCATTTCATTTCATTAGCCCAATAAGGAAAACAGCAGTAGGACATAAAACTTCATTTCATTTCATTAGACCAAATAAGGTACAGATCAGTAGGACATAAAACTCATTTCATTTCATTAGACCAAATAAGGAAAACAGCAGTAGGACATAAATCTCATTTCATTTCATTTATTAGACCAATAAGGTACAGATCAGTAGGACATAAAACTTCATTTCATTTCATTAGACCAAATAAGGTACAGATCAGTAGGACATAAATCTCATTTCATTTCATTAGACCAAATAAGGTACAGATCAGTAGGACATAAATCTCATTTCATTTCATTAGACCAAATAAGGTACAGATCAGTAGGACATAAATCTCCATTTCATTTCATTAGACCAAATAAGGTACAGATTAGTAGGACATAAATCTCATTTCATTTTATAAGACCAATAAGGATAAGAACATCGAGACATAAAATAACATGTCATTTCATTAGACAAATAAGGTACAGATCAGCAGGACTTAAATCTCATTTCATTTCATTAGACCAAATAAGGAAAACAGCAGTAGGACATAAAACTCATTTCATTTCATTAGACCAAATAAGGTACAGATCAGTAGGACATAAATCTCATTTTAGACCAATAATGTGTGGAATATCGAGACATAAAATAACATTTATTTCAGTAGTCCAATTAGGTACAGAGAAGTAGGACGTATTAGACCAGTACGGTGTAGACTAAAAGGGCGTAAAACTAAAATTTTATTTCAAATCATTTGGATATTATTTAATTGTATTAGTCTAGTAAATTTAACAACAGTGAAACGGGGGACTCACTTCAGTTTACTCAAATTCTTTCTTAATTGTACACTTCAATATATTGACTGTCTTCGCTATATAGTACAACGCGATGTATTTGCAAGTACATGTACACCTAAAAAAAATTTACATTAATTAACTCGCAAGCTGTCATAGGAATTTTCCATCGCTATATACACACAATCTGTCTATGAGCCTTATACATGAGATATGGTACTCCATTTAATGTTGTAGACCTACATACAGCGATAAATTAATCGACTGGGCCTTTAAAGTGAAAACACTGAACTGGCGACCGACCAGGAAGTCGGCAGGAATTTCCAGTGTTTCTATTGGTTGATTCGGGTGAATAATCATTGTGTAAGCCGTCCGTAATAACAGAATTAAGTTGTATATAAACACACGTCATATATGTAAGCATATGGATTTTTTTGCTCGTTATTTGAGGGGTGGGGCCGGGGGGGGGGGGGTGTATATGAGGAATTCTGGAATATTAATTGTTAATTGTTAATTGTTTAACACTTCTAACATAATCCCATAGGATCGTGAATGTAAACTGAAGAAAAACGCGAAACGAATCATCTAATCACTGTATATGAGGAATTCTGGAATATTTGACTTGTCTAACACTTCTAACAGTGTTTTTGATTGGTTAGCATAGATAATTACAAAGTTTGATAATTATGGTTGAAAATCAACAAAAAACGATTTGAAGAAGAATCCCATAGGATCGTGAATGTAACCTGAAGAAAAACGCGAAACGAATCATCTAATCACTGTATATGAGGAATTCTGGAATATTTGACTTGTCTAACACTTCTGACGATTTGAAGAAGAATCCGATAGGATCGGGAATGTAACCTGAAGAAAAACGCGAAACGAATCATCTGATCACTGTATATGAGGAATTCTGGAATATGTTAAGCACTGATTTGTCGAACATTTGTAACAGTGTTTTTGATTGATTAACATAGATAATTACAAAGTTTGATCCTTATGGTTGAAAATCAACAAAAAACGATTTGAAGCAGAATCCCATAGGATCGTGAATGTAACCTGGCCCCGGTTTCACTAAGATACGTAAGTATTTACGTAAGTTTTATACTTACGCATAACGTAAGTATTTACTTACGTCCGTTTCACTAAAGCCTGCGTAAGTATTAAGTAAAAAAAGTGGCGTAAGTATGAAAATTCGTGACGTAATATCAATACATTTTGACGTAAGTCACGCTTGGCCGAAATAAATCGTCATTCAGTGTCACTTTTGTCAAAATGGCATCATCCGCAAGAAAAAATAACTTGTTCAATTCTGAAATATCAGCATTTTTAGAAACTGTTTAATTTTAATACAATTCGCACCAAGTTCACTTCTGGGGTGATCAGTAAAACCAAACAAGAAGCATGGCCGATGGAAATGGAAAGATAAATAGGCCCAATTAAAAATTGAACTGAACACTTCTAAAGTT